AGCATAAACGAAGCAATGTTTGTACGCAACCACGCTGGATTAATCTAATTTGAAAGCTAGAAAGAAAGGGCCCCATCTTACAGTTCAAGCCACCCTTGTGCCACTAGTATCTCACGGTCAGTATGACATCAAGCAAACCGTGATTCTTGTTTAATACCTACCTTCGAAACATGGGTGAGGTTTGGCGTCTCATCCGCACGTTTCTGCTGCACCGGTCTCAGTACACATATAAAAAAACCAGCAGCATAACTTGCATGCAGTAGGCGGGCCAACATATACCAGACTGGCCCGTTCACACGGATACAATGCTAGAAGTATGTTTCAGTGAAGCCTGCCTCTTTATTATTAATACTGTTCCCCTGAAAGTGGCATTCATTCGCGCCACCTTGAAGGCTAACAATCGCAAGACGATAATTGTAACTTGGATATGGTCGACGCAATGCCCCCAAAACGACTAGTAGGCGTGTATGGCACGTCCGGCGGTGATGCTTCATCGAATCAGCTTTGCTCTGTCACCTTACTGGTGCAGGGCGGGTGCATAAAAAGCCAAGAATGCATACCTTGTGTCCCATTCATAGTGGATAAGAGGCGGTGGCTTATATCGCAATGGAAAGTAGTGATCATTTCTGGGGTCAAGATCTCAGCCGATCGGGTGTTTATTGATGGTATGTCGTTTCGAGAAGAAGAATATTCGATCGCTGGAACATCCATTTTATTTGCCTGACGTTTTGACCCCCGTGGCGGTTTCGTCATCAGAGACATGAGCAGAAACGTTAGACTCGTTTCTAGTATTTCGTATCTCGTCGACGTCATATCAGAGTGGAGAGTCTGTGATCAGGTAATCTGTCGTAGTCATGCTCTGGTTTCAGAAAGTGTGTTTAAATTCTGCTTGGGCACCCCTTTTGTTAATCAGTGTTGCATTCCCAGGAAGGTGTGATACGAATGTGACGGAAGAATATTCAGTGCACTGGATGATGGGTTTTCATGGCTCCTGTGACGATAGTCACACTAAGGCTCAGGTGCATCGTGGATAAAACTCGGTTCACATCGGTGGATACATTCGGTTACATAGGCTGTAACGTCTGAGAAAACACCAAAATCGGCGACTAATTGGTCCACCGTAGCTCAAAAGCCAATCCGGCTTTCGGCCTTTGTATGGGACTGCAACGGACTTTGACTCAACATTAAACTTGAAATGTACAGGACGATAGTCCTGAATCCGCTTATCCATATAAGAAGGGCTAATTAAATCAATTCTAACTCATCTGTCACTGTAAAATATTAAAGTTGAGGTTAAGGACAGGATACCAGAGATGGGGGTCTTGGGACGGAACGGAATCCTCGGCATTTACGCCATGCTGAGGCAATTTCAGATATGCTCGAACGAGCAGCTTGCGAGAATGGATAACTTATGTTATAGACATGCGCATGGTTTTTGACAGGGAGGACTAAAAAGACGCCAAAAAACATCCTGCAAAAATTACCTAAAGAAACGCAAGTCATTTCGGCGCCCTGGCAGTAACTCACAC